AGAAACGGGAGAAGATGAGAGAAAAGGGTTCCAACAAAGGAAAAATCCTAGGCAAAGGATTTACTGAAGCCATGAAGCAGGCATTCCTGGCAGCATATGAGGATAGTGGGAGTGATCAAGAGAAAGAAAAGGAGGATGAGGCTATAAGTCTCTATGCTATGATTGATGAACACCAAGCTATGAAGACAGAATTCTAGTACAGCTTGGGATGCACATTGGAAGACCTCCTTTGTTTGATGAACACCACTATGATAAATGAAAGCTAGGTATGGAAATATTTCTTCAGGATACTGACTTTGACCTATGGATAATTGTCAGCCATGGACCAATTCTCCCAACCAAATTGGATGGTGAAGGTAACAAGTGCAACAAAAGAGAAGAGGAATACGATGAGGAAAATCGTCAGCTAGTTCAGAAAAATGCTAAAGTAAAGGACTTTCTCTACAGAAGTCTGTCTAGAAACACCCTCCTCAGAGTGTCCTCTTGCATATCTGCTCATGACATATGGAGGACCTTGGAAACTGACTTTGGAAATAAAAATATCGAAGTGGCTCTAATGGCGATTGAAGAATAAAAAACAGAGGAAGAAGTGATAGGAATGATGGCCATGAGTGATTCAGAAACTGAAGATGAGGCAAACCAGGTAAGTATATCTGACTTGAAAGAAAATATTCATGCTATGTCCAAAAAGCAACTGATGGCCATAATTGTGACCTTAATGAATGAAATGGATAAAATGAGTAATGGAAATGATCAGCTAATCAACAACCTTTCTTCTGTCAATTTTGATAGGACTCCTACTGTTCCAAGGATTCCACAAGCTTTGGGAGTTCTGTCTCTGACTGACTTATCCGTATCTTCTTGGGAAACGACCCTTATCACTTATAGTAGTCATCTTCCACCAAACTCGGACCTGGGTAACTTTGAGATAAAGTTACTGTCTTGTTCATACGTACAAGTATTAACCATGAGAACCTGGTTCTTCACAACAGTTAAGCAGCTACATTGAGGACCTGGTTCTTTGAGCAGGTAGTCACACTTTGTTATCATCAAAACTTCAATACTCAACACCAATCTTATAGAATTTCATCAGTTTCTTACTAAATATAAGAAGCAAAGATTCAAACGTAACCTAAAAAATTGCAAACAACAATGTATCTAACTTCACGCCAAATTTTACTTAAGCTCTAACATTTAATAAAAATCACTTAATATTCATCGAACAACGTCAACATTCACTGGAAGATTGGATGAAATCATATAAGCAAGAAACTTATCTAAAATAAATACCAAGAAGTTGAGATAGAGAACCAGCTTTTTGTAGATGAAAATTCCTTGAAATGATACCATTGCTACAGATGCATGATTGTACAGGATAAATGGAAATAGTACTTCGACTGAAACCTCGGACGGACCTCTCGATGAAAAGGTTGGTTCTTTACTAGTAGTTTTAGCCTGATTTGCGGTAGCAAACTGGTGACATTTTGTGGCTGATTTTTGCTGCAAAAAGGGTGTTGTTTTGTAGGTGTTTATGGTGATTTTCAGCTGCTATTTCGTAGTTTCTGGGATGACGCATTGGTGGGACTTTCACAATGATTTCGAGCTGATATTTCGGGTGGTTTTCGTGGGTGATGGTGGCTGATTTTAAGAGCTACTGTTGCTGGTTTTTGGAGCTGAAATTGCTGCTTTTTATGGCTGAAAAGGGTGGTTTACTGCTAGTTTATATGGTGAAAAAGCAGCTGGATTTGTGGTGATGGTAAGATATTAAGGACAACAGCTTTAATTTGGTGGTTTATGTGGTCGTCGGTGGTGTTTTACATGGCTGAAACGGATGATTTTTAACTGGTTTTGGTTTAGGAAAGTGGTTAAAGAGGTATGGAGAAAATAGGATCCAAGAGAATGAAAGCAGCAACCCTTCTCTTTTAGTTTCTAAGTTTTTTGTCTTAATGTGTATATGGAGAAGATGAGAGAGCTCCTTTTCCTTTTTTAGTTTTAAAGTAAAATGTAGTCTAGGTTTCTTCATGTGAGTTTGATTGAGGGAGGGGTCTTACCTTGTGGCCTTTCTAAGGGAGCATGATTAGAGAAGGAAATTTCACATAAGGTGAGGTGGAGGAATCCTAAGGGAATATACTTGTGGGATAAGAGAGAAACAAAAAAGAAAAAGAAATAAAATTAAAGAGAGTTTCCTAGAATGTGCCTAGTTTAGAGATAAGCAGATGATAAGAACAATGAGATGGTGGAATAATTTGTAAAATATCTACTAGGATCTTTTTGTGATTTTCTTTCTTTTGCAAAATAAAAGTAAAACTAACATTTACAAATATGATTCTTTTTGTAGTTTTTGGTTTTATAAAATAAAACCTTCTATAAATAAAATAAAGGTAAAAATTTAAAATTAAACCTAAAAAGAGAAAGAAAAAAAACTCACCCCCACCCGCCTCTTGAGAGCTTCTCTCTCCAGGGGATCAAGCAATTTTGCGTCGACTCGATGACAATTGCCTTTTATTGTTTCACGACCCAGATCCCACTATAGGTATTTAAATTTTATTGGATTTCAATCCATAAATTATTTGGACCGTGTTTAAATTCAAGATATATTAGTCCAAATATATATTATGGACCAATATAATTTGATTAATTATATTAATCCAATATACGTGGTTTAAATAAATATATCCAAATTTATTGAGCTAGCCCATGTAATTGGGCTACAAGTGATGGGTCCACTTTACTAAGCCTAATATGTCATCTTCCTAGAGGCCCAATTTGGTGCCACATGTAAGATGACGTGGCACGTCAAGTCAAACGGAAGAGCCAGTAGGGTCATGCCATGAGTCAAAATGACAAGGCATGCCAAATCAAATTAAAAGGCCAATAAAATTACGCCATGTGTATAAGTGACATATTTTGGCCAATCAATACGTCCTTGTCATGCTTCAATCTGATTGATTGAAAAAAGTTTATTTTCATCACAACTCTTCTTTTTTACAACTATAAATAGGGGTTTTCATAACACAGAAAAGACACCATGAATCATAACAAGAAGCAAGAGAGAGCTCGTGGATCAAACGCCGCAAAATTTATCTACAAACTTCAAGTTTCAAGCAATCAAGATCAAGTCCAAGAAATCGAGTTGAAGCTCAAGAACGAAGAACGAATCAAGGAGTACCAGTTCAAATCAAAGTTGTGCTAGTTGAATTCAAGATCATCGTTCAAAAAAAACAAGCATAAATTCAGGATCAAGCGCGGAAGCCCTTGAATTTATATTATCAAAGAAGAATTAGATGATTCATATAGATTATACAAAGAATCAGATGATTCATATAGATTGTACACTCATATTACTTGAAATCAAATACTCTGATTGTTGCAATATTTTTTAGACTTTATTATTTTTCTTGACCCAATTTATTGTCTACAAATTTTGGCACGCTCGGTGGGGCAATCTCTACCTATGATCTTATCTTTTGAATAATCAAAGTTCAAGAACATCGAAATGGCTTCAAAGAAAATCAACTCCAGATCAACTTTCACTAAGGCTGCTAATTCCAAGTTCTATGCTGATGTGAAAAACATCCTCGATGTTACCTTTGAAAGCTTTGGACTAGTTACAAGGAACAAAAAAAGCTCTTTAGGACAACAAATACTCCAATGGTTGTCTGTATCAACCCCTGTTTTCGAATCTTTGTCCTCAAAAAGAGAAATATCCTCTGCGAACGCGCCTAAAGGGGGAAGCAACATTGCTAAAAAAGATTAAGAAATCTCTACCTCTGCTTAACCTCTCCGGATCTAAGAATTCTGTTGCAAAGGAAGATGATGATACTTCAAGTGATGGATCCTCCCCACTTACACCGCATAGCGTGAGGCAATCAAGGATCAATCTATGTGATAATCCATTATATTTTCCATCGTCCACAACAATCATGCAAGCATTGGTGACGAACGCTTCATCTGTGGAGGAGCAATTGGCAAAATTGACAGAAGCAATCACTGGCTTGACCAAATGCACGCAAAATCAAGATTCTAGAATTGATAAGTTAACGGATAGGATAGGACTCTTGATGGAAGAAGAACCCATCCATGCAAGTGGCAAGGGCTCAGAAGTTCAAGAGACTGATCCTCCCCCATGACAAGTTGCATCCATCAAGAAAATCCCAGTCTCTTTAGAAGGAATGATTCCAATCAATCAACTAAAGGAATTCATTGAAGGGACTTCAAAAAATAAGTATGGAGTTGCCTCTAAGTCCTCTTTTATATACATGAAGTTGTACACTGCAAGGATCAATACGTTGAAGATGCCTGCTATCTATCAACCTCCAAAATTTTAACAGTTTGATGGCAAAGGCAATCTAAAGCAACATGTGGCGGACTTCGTTGAGACATGCAACAATGTTGGGACTTATGAATATTATCTCGTCAAGAAGTTTGTCCACTCGCTAAAAGGCAATTCTTTTGATTGGTATGCAGATCTCGTGGATGGATCTATTGATAGATGGGATCAACATGAGCAAGAGTTCCTTAATCGCTTTTATAGCACAAGGCGCACTGTGAGCATGGTAGAACTTACAAATACTCGTCAACGGAAGAATGAACCAGCTATCGACTTTATCAATCGATGGGGGAATGTGAGTCTCAACTGCAAAGATAGGCTTAGCGAAGGTTCTAGCATAAAGATGTGTATCCAAGGCAAGCATTGGGGACTTCGTTACATCTTGCAAGGCATCAAGCCTAGAACATTTGAAGAACTTTCCACTCGTGCCCAGGACATGAGTTAAGTATAGCCTCTGCAGGAAATGAAAGATGCCTATCTACGAGCCTCACAAAGGGAACAACAAGCGAGAAGTCAAGAAATGGAGCAAGTTCGTACCCAAGTCTTAAAACAAAGAAGCTATGAGTGTCCATAAATCACATGTGAAGTTCACAATGAATGTGAGCAATAAGCAGAGTGTGAGGTCCACTTCTTTTCAAGATAAGCCAAGTGGAAAGTGACTCTAAAAGAAATGCAAGAAAAGAAGTACTCATTTCTGGATTTCGATGTGCCTGCCATTGTTGAAAATTTCCTCGAGTTAAAGCTCATTGAACTTCCGAAGATGAAGCGTCCAAATAACGCTGGGAAAACTATTGATCCAAATTACTGCAAATATCATCGACTTGTGAGTCATCCTCTTGAGAAGTGCTTCGTCTTTAAAGACAAAGTTATGGACTTGGCTCGTGAAAAGAAGATCATGCTTGAAGATGAGAAGGAAAGTGCGAACCAAGTCTCTATCACCTTTGGCTCATTCAGTCCAGATGAGCTATGCAGTTAAAAAAATCAAAGATGAAGAATTATTGGAGAATAAGAAAATCAAAGTTGATCAGCCTAATGATAATGAAGGTTGGACATTAGTAACTCGTCGTAGGTGCCACAATAGAAGTCCACAAAAAGAATCAATAGAACAACCAACAAGGAAAATGATGGTAAAAAGACCGAGCAAATAACATCCAATTAAGAAAATGAAGAAAATAAAAATTCGAGGTGCACCACCCTCAAAAGCCACGATATCCAGTGACCTTGGAGGATTTCTTGACAAGACGCACAAAGATTTCCCATGATGGGTTCGAGGCCTCTTGTTGCAATGACGATAAAGGAGAAGAAACTAGTGATAACGTACCGTTAGCATTATCTTCGGAAAAGCCCATCGAGTCCATTCCTCAAGAAATTAATGTTTACGAGGAAAAAGTAACATTCACGAATGATAACCTTCTAGTAGGTGACACTCCTCATAATTTCCCGTAATTATATGGTTGGCTATATACGCGATGAAAGGGTAAATCAAATTTTGATTGATGGAGGATCCTCAGTGAGCAATCTTACCAATTCACACCGTGAAGGAACTTGGCATTCCCGTGGATGAACTCTCAAAAAGCCACTTAATGATTCAAGGATTCAACCAAGGGGGCAAAGAGCCATAGGCGCAATAAAATTAGGGCTCACCATTGGAGATATGCAGTCAAGTGCGTGGTTGTATGTGATCGTCGCAAAGAATTCATACAATGTCTTGCTTGGAAAGCCTTGGATTCATGAGAATAGGGTAGTTCCATCTAACTACCATCAATGTCTGAAGTACTACGAGGGAGGAGTCGAGAAGACGATAGTTACTGATGATAAGCCCTTCACCGAGGCTGAGTCATACTTCGCTGACGCAAAGTTCTACTTGAAGAACCACATCGTTAAGGAGCTAAAAGCTGATGATGTCATGAAGATCAAGAATGATGAGTTCACAACTAAAAGAGCTGAGGTGGCTCCTGGTAAAGTCAAAGTCGCTGCTAAGGAGGCACACCCTAATCCAAATAAATATCATAGAGGGAAAGCCATTTCTTCTAGCAAGAAGGTAGCCCATGTACTTCGTTACGTCCCAAAGATAGAGAAAAAAGAAGGCGAATCATTCAATCTCCAAACGGGGTTAACTCTTCCGATCAAACGGATTGAGGCGATAAAGATGTCCTCAAAGCTACTTAGAAAGTCTGTGTCTCAGAATCCACCACAAAATATAGCACTGCCTACGAAGCGTACAGATGAAGGTTTTGATCCTAATGCTTATAAGTTATTTGCAAAGGCTGGATACAACCCTAATGAGCCATCAAAGTTAGGGAATCTCCCATCAGAAGCTGCTACAAGGCAACCACATGAAGGTTTGGGATATAAACAATCCTTACTAGTGCGCTTCTCCATAAGAAAGGCAAGCAATAATTGTATCACTATGGAAGATGAACCTGCCACTTCCAATAGGCTCTCTATCTTTCATCAGCTTGAAAAATCAACTGAGAGGACTTACGTATTTGAGAGATTAGGTCCACTAAAGAAGAAGAACAAATTCCAAAGAGATTATCAAAGCATAAGAATGCCCGCTTAACCCAGAATCTAGAAGATCTCTAAGGATTTCCAATATTTGGTTCCTTCTAGAATGAGGCGACAAACAAAACTTGTGATTTCATATAAAGAAGTACTGAAGGTAAAGCCATATATTGTAGTCTACCCTAAGGAACTTGATGAAGATGATGAAAGTGTGGGTTCTTCGTATCATGTTACTGCGCAAGGTGAGTATGGTATTTCATCTCTAATGGAGGATGACAAGAAATTGGAGGATGTTTCATCATGCTATCACATATCCTTCAATGATGGGGACCCTTAAGAAGATGAATATGCAAAAGCTGCTCTGCCTGAACTTGAATAGGGGGTAAAGACAACAATTGACGCTTTGAAAAAAGTAAACCTTGGCACTGATGAAGAGCCAAGGCCCACTTATCTAAGTGCTTTACTAGTAGTCAATGAAGAAAGAAATTATATTGAGTTTCTCAAGGAGTATAAGTATGTCTTTGATTGGAGTTATAAGGATAAGTCTGGCTTGGACCACAAAGTAGAAGTCTATCACCTTGCAGTCAAGAATGGTGCTCATCCTGTTAAGCAAGCTCAAAGGCGCTTTAGGCCGGACTTGGTTCCATTGATTAAAACTGAAATTAACAAACCCATTGAAGATGGCTTTACTCGTGAAGTTAAACACTCAACATGGGTTTCAAGTATTGTCCCTGTAAGGAAGAAGAATGGCTAGATTCGAGTGTGCATTGACTTCAGGGATCTCAACAAGCGTGTCCTAAAGATGAATTCCCGCTTCCTATTTCAGAGCTAGTGATCGATGCTATTACTGGTTATGAGGCAATGTCTTTTATGAACGGTTTGTCTAGATATAACCAAATTCGTATGTATCCAAAAGATGAAGATCTTATCACATTCCACACCCCAAATGGAATTTATTGCTACAAGGTAATTCCTTTTGGCTTGAAGAACGTTGGTGCCACATATCAATGGTCTAATCTTTGATGAACTCCTTCACAAGAATGTTGAATTCTATGTAGATGACTTGGTCGTGAAGTCAAGAAAGATGAACGACCACTTGCAAGACTTGAAGATTGGTGTTCGAGCTACTTTAGAGATATCAACTTTGCATGAATCCATTGGAATGTGTCTTAGAAGTTGCTTCTGGCAAGTTCCTTGGCTTTTTTGTTCGACATCAAGAGATAGAAATTGATCAATCCAAGGTTGATGCAATCTTAAAAATGCCCGAGCCTCGGGATATTCATGAATTGAAAAGTTTGCAAAGAAAGATAGTGTATCTTAGGATATTCATCTCGAACCTAGATGGGAAATGTCAACCATTCAGTCTCCTTATGAAGAAGGGTGTCCCTTTCAAGTGAGACCAATCGTGTAGAAATGCCTTTAAGAGCATTATATCCTACTTGATGAAGCCTCCAGTTTTAACAGCTCTTATACCTGGAAAGACATTGATACTGTATATCGCAAGAAAGGACTGTTGGAGCACTGTTGGCCCAAGAAAATAGTGAGGGGAAATAAAACTCCCTTTACTACTTGAGCAGGATGATAACACCAAATGAGTTGAATTATTCGCCAATTGAAAAGTTATGTTTGGCGCTAGTCTCCTCAATTCAAAAGTTGAGGCACTACACTTTCAAGTTTATGTTGTTCATCTTATTTCTAAAGCAAATCCCATCAAGTTTGTAATGTCAAAACTTGTCCTTAGTGATCGACTAACAAGGTGGTACCTTCAGTTTCAACAATTTGAAATTGTGTACATCCCTCAGAAGGCTATAAAAGGACAAGCGTTAGCGGACTTCTTGGCAGATCACCTTATACCTAACTATTGGGAGCTAACTGATGAAGTACCTGATGAGGATGCAATGGTCATTGAATTTCAGCCTCCATAGAAGATGTACTTTGATGGTGTTACACATCGCGGAGGAGCCGGTGCTGACGTAGTATTTGTCACTTCTCAAGATGAGGTTTTCCCTTGCTCTTTTACATTGACGCAATTCTACTCCAACAACGTTGCTGAATATCAAGCATTAATACTTAGGCTTGAATTGGTTGTCGATATGAGGCATTTTCAATTGCAAGTCTTTGGTGACTCCAGTTGGTGATCCACAAGCTTTTAGATAGTTACGAGGTCAAGAAATATGAACTGTGCCCATATCATGATTATGCTAATAAATAAATGGGATGGGTTGGTGACTTGACAATTTAACATGTGCCTAGGAAAGAAAACAAGAAGGCTGATATTTTAGCTGCTCTAGTTTCATCGTTAACTCTCCCTGACCAAGCACAAGTTACTATATTCCAAAAATGGTTAGTACCGCCGCCAAATATGGGTGAAAATAAAGAAAAAAAACTCGAGCATCTTGTCATTGTTAATGAAGCTGAGAAGGAAGATTGGCGACAACTCATCATTGACTACTTGAGCTATGGGATACTTCCAGAAAATCCAAGGAGACGGACTGAAATCCGCCGTCGCGCATCACGTTTTATTTACTACAAGGATGCTCTATACAGAAGATCATTCGAGAGAGTACACCTGCGATGCTTAGGGGAAGATGAAGCACTCCAAGCTTTGCAAGAAGCACATTCTGGGATATGTGGATCACATTAGTCTAGACCAAAGCTCCACTTCCATGTAAAAAGGATGGGATATTATGGGCTAACGATGGTAAAATATTGCTTGGACTACGCTCGAAGATGCAAGAGTTGACAGTTCCAGGCAAATTTTATTCATCAACCTCCTGAAGTACTACATCCGACTGTTGCATCATGGCCATTCGACGCTTGGGGATTGGATATTGTTGGACTTCTACCAAAATCTTCTGGAGGACATTCGTATATCTTGGCTGCAACCGATTACTTTTTAAAATGGCCAAAAGTTGTTGCTCTCAAGGAAGTAAAGAATGAGAATGTTGCAAACTTCATCCGAGTAAATATCATCTATCGCTTGGCATTCCTCGTTACGTAATAACGGATAATGGCAAGCCATTCGACAATGACTTGATGAACACGATTTCTTATCTCTTTAACTTCAAGCAACATAACTCTTCTATGTACAATGCTGCTGCCAATTATCTAGCTGAGGCATTCAATAAGACTCTATTCAACTTGTTGAAGAAAGCCGTCTCCAAATCCAAACGAGTTTGGCATGACCATATGGAAGAAGCTCTATGGGCATACAGGACAACTCACCGCACCAACACAAGCAACCCTTTTTTCACTCGTCTATGGAGTTGAAGTCGTTTTTCCACTCAAGCATCAAATACCTTTATTGTAACTAACTATTCAAGAAGGGATCACTGATGAAAAAAATGCTCGACTTCGATTAGTAGAGTTGGAAGCTCTTGATGAGAAGAGGTTGGAAGCTAAATAGAGTCTTGAATGTTATCAAGCTCGATTGTCTCGCGCCTTCAATAAAAGAGTTCTCCCGAGAAACTTTCAAGAAGGAGATCAAGTCCTTGTCGTACGAAGACCCATTATCACTTCTCATAAATCTGGAGGGAAGTTCACTTCAAAATGGGATGGTCCATATATGATGCAAGAATCTTATTTAAGTGGGGCCTACAAGCTGGTTGATGCAGTTGGCATGAGAGTCGGCCCTATTAATGGAAATTCTTTGAAGAAGTATTATCCTTGAAGTCGCTACGCTCTTGGACGTACTAGCCTAAACTACATGTCATGAAGCTCTTTGAATTTGAGCTAAATCTTCAAGTTGCAAAGCTTATCAAAGTACAAGCTTAAACTGCAAGTCGCTACGCTCCTTAACGCAAGAGCATAATCTACATGATACTCCTGGTCGGCAAGAGTATAAACTGTGTACAGCCCCCCCAAAAAGGTCTGCTAGGTTGAAAACCTCAAAAGGGGCGGCCTAGGCAAAAGTGCTAGGTATCCATACAACACTCGGTCCAAGCAGGGCCTAAAAGCCCCATGCTTTTCTTGGTTAGACCTACCCAACCAGCGATTTTCGACAAGTCTTTCTGAATTGGAAGAGAACGAAGCGGAACTAGAAAAAAACTTTCTTATGGATAAGCAATTAATTTTCAAATTCTCCTTCTAATTCATCTTTTCTGGTAGATTTAGGTTTATCTCTGAGGTCCCACGAAGGTTTGGACATTAAAATAAATTTAAAAAACTCACCCATTCTGAATTATAATATGACTTGATCCTCTTCACCGAGGTACGTAGGTAGCTTAGAGTTTCATTCTAAGTTCAGTCGCATGAGTTCAAAATATACATATTACCTAATAGTTGTTTGAATAAAGTATGAGGGAACATAATCCACTCAATCGGCGCTTGCAAAATTGGACTGAAATATCATTCTTTTGTTGAACTTTAGATCTCATATGATTTAAAGGGGGCAAGCCTCTATGGCAAATCAGTGTCTTCAATGGGATGATTATAGTCTTTTAGGAGGCTACCAAGTATTTGCATTGAATTCCGAGGATTCGCTATGTCTTCATGTTCACCAAACCTTCAAGTTTGTTGGTCTTCAAATCCGCTCTCCGCCCTAAACAAAGGGAAGAGAGGCAGCAAAAAGAGAACACAAGTATAAAAATGAAGATTACCTTGCACGTTATTTCAAATTCAGGGAGACTTAAACCTAAGATATTTGGTGAGAATGAAGCACTTGAATTCTGATTTCTAGCAAGAAAAACGTCTTGTGTTTCCGAGGCTTCCATACCAAGACATGAAAGTTTTGACGAAGTCGCGCCAAATTGGAATTGTCGGTACATCATAATCTAATGTTGATTTTGAAATATTATCTGAAGCTATCTTTATGGCATTAAATTTTGCATTTTGGATATATTTTAGATTTTGAAGTTTAGTTTGCAAGAAATCAAACAGTTCATGATTTCGATGTTCCTACACCAAGATATATATTTTCTGCTGAAGCCTCGCATTGAAACTATCAACACGTTATAATTTAAAGTTGATTTCAGAATATTATTTGGGACGATTCTAAATATGTTCGATTACAAATTTTGGATATGTTTTATATTATGAGGTCCGATTTCCGAAAAATCAAACGGTTCATGATTTTGATGTTCCTACTCTAAGATATAAATGTTTTGGTGAAGCCTCACAAATCTGAAATTGTCAACACATCGAAATTTAAAGTAGATTTCAGAATATTATCTTGGATGATTTTGAAGGTGTTCGATCCTAAATTTTGGTTATATTTTAGATATTGAAGTCTAATTTTTGATAAATCAAGCGGTTCGTCATTTGGACTTTCCCACAGCAATATATGAATTATTTTGTTACAAGTGCGTAAAGCTAATAAATATGAATGTGACTAAGATAAAAGTGATACAATGTAAAGCAAAAGAGAAACATTCTTTTTTGTAATGAAATAAATATCTACTAGGTCAATCTAATACAAAGATAAAAATAGGAGATAATTTTAATAGTCTAATCTAAACAGAACTTGTAGTTGATCAATTCTTGACATCTAGCCTCCAGGTTCTTCTTCTGCTCCTCCAGATTGGGCGAATCATCAACAGTCAGCAAATTTATGTTGTCATATGAAGATGCTTCAGTCTTGGCAGCTGAAACTTTTGCTTGAATCTCTTTAACCTCCTTTTGAGTCGCTTCTATAACACCTTTTAGATTCTCCTTCTCTTGTTGTAATGTTTGCAACCTCTTCACAACTCTCCTCAGTTTCTTTTCACTAGAGCAAAATTTCGTGACTTTCTCACTTACTTCAAGTTTGAACAATTCGAGATACTCCTTTGCTTTGGAAATCAGCTCTAGCTTCTTATCTTCACTCTTCCTATCAGCCAAATTGGATTGATCTTGGCCATATGAAGCGACAAGCTCAAAAATAGAATTTAGTAAACTCTCTAATGGATAAAGATCCAAAACATCCGCCTTCTTCATATCCTCAAAATCTCTTTATAAGATAAGAGAAATTCTGCATGAGTTTTGGAGAGTCTGTTGCAAATATCCTCCCAAAGGCCTAAGATGAATGTCTTTTTGCAATTAAAGACAATGCTCTTTCCTTTAAACATAAATATTGATGCATCTGTCATTGGTAGGACGTGAGCTATCTCATTTGGAATTGGTCTTTTTAAGGCTTTGTCACGAGGGATAAAGGATGCCTTTGAAGATGAATTCATTTTAGACATAGGCCCTGCAATAGAATCATCACTAACTTGCAGCTTATCTGTGGGGATGCCACTGGATGTCCAATGGCATTTAGCTCCACAAAAAAGGGTAAAGAAAGAAAATGATATTTAGTAAAGCCATCTGCTCATAAATAATAAAAAGGAAAGAGGCGAGGTTATTTTGTTTTACCTCTTTGTTACAAGTTATGGGTGTTCTTGAGGGACTATCAACCCTTGGAACCTCTACAACCTCTATTAGATTAGGCCTTTTCTTTTTCCAGCATTGATCTTCGTTGGTACTTTGGCTTCTATCTTGAGGAACTCACTTGTTAAATGGAAGAACTTGAGGGTGTTTCTCGACATCTGTTGAAGTGCACACCACCTCTTTCATAGATGCCTTTGAGGATTTAAGCTTCATTTTCTTATGTTGTGTAACTTCTTTTGGGATTGGAGTAGGTTGTTCATTGACTTTTGGGAGTGTCTTTCCAACACCTTGATCTTTATCCCCTGGAAAAGTAATATAGTTTGGCCCAACATTATCTACCACATCTTGTAGATTATCCTCAAAGAACTTCCATACGCTTTTTCCCACCAAGATATATAATTAGTGGAGAAAAGCTTCTCCACAGGATATCCCGTTGGGGGGAACGCCGCACGTGATATAGATTGATATAGTATTCAAATCCTCCAAAATTTGAGTCCTTCATATAAAGAGGCAGTGTGGATATCATTCTCCAAAAAACCAGGAATATTTTGGTAAAATCGAAATTGACGACTAAATCGAT